CTGCGCATTTTTCTGCAGTGACATTTCTTACTAGCACTGCATAAATACTTGTTCACTACTCTGCTGCTGCTACGCATAAAGTAGCAGTAACATGATTACAGAGCCGTGCAACAATAGATGATCTCTTTGGACTATACTAGATGGCACACCAAGTGCCTGTGGCTTGGGCTCAGACTTAGCGAGCCACAGAAGAAAAGAACAATCAAGGTACAAACACATAACTGAGGTTAAGAAGGCTACTGACAAGGAAGCAGAATGTGGAAAATCCACAAACCACAATTCAACTGGCAGTTGAACAACAAAAGGATTTTGTTCGGATCATGCTGACCATTTGCTCACTGAATTTTCCCTTGTTGAACTAATAAACCACATTTTATATACTGTATATACATGAGATATTTTTAAACAGTTTATTCATTATTAAATATTTATTAATGAATGATAAAATTAACTCAGTCCTATGCTTTGTGTTGTTCTTCCAAGTATAATAATGCAATAAGGAAATCTTGGGTTTTTTTTTTAAATGCCATAGCAGGCAAATACATTGATTTCCTTGGACCTGTATCCCTTTCAACCAATTAAATATGTAACTATGTAACAACATAGGAACTGCTGGATGGCAATTAACCTGCTGATGAAGTAAGCCTTTACTGAAAGTATTAGTCTACAGGCAGCCTCTGTGGTCCTGACAGAGGCCCTGCCGGTAATTAGCCCTAGGACCTCAAAGGGCCTATTATTCAGGACTTATATAGTGCCAACAGTTTCCACAGTGCTTTACAAAACTAAAGCAGATAGGTTACAGTAAAATTCAGTACAAGAGGAATCAGAGAACCCTGCTGTGACAATTGTGCACAATAGAGACATGGACATTGTATGTGATAGCTATCTTGTTAGGTCTCAGCCATGTTGTCTCTCCTGTCCTCTCCCTTCCTTCTTGAATGGAATTTATAGCTGTAAGTTCAACAAAGGTCAAAAGGGCCTCTTATCCTTAATAAAACACAGCTAGATGAAGCTCCAGGACTGTAAACGCTAATTAGTCTGGTTCAAGCGGTCTGCTTTGAAAACCACTTTCCTCTGCCCGATCGTAAAACAATAACTCAGTCAGTGTCATGTTTCACATGACTGTCATATTGACTGTCATTTGCCTTTAAATGTTTTCAGTGTTTTGTCTCTGCTCCTCCCTTTCCTTTAGTTTAGGTAATGTTGCATAGATAGCCCTCCCCCCTTCCCAGAGATGCATTGCAACAGCCTCATGGCAAGAAGCAGAAACAGTATGTTCTTTCGACCTATCAAATGGTTATTCTTGTAAGATTCTCTCAGTTTATGGAATAAACTTCACAAGATCTGCAAGATATCATTCTGATTGAGTTACTGACTGTGGACCCCAACTGAGGTTGAAGTTATCGCTATCTCATCACAACTGTAAGTTACAGAGATCACACTATTAATGCTTAGATTGGACACACAGAACAGTCAGTCATAACCTGTTAGGTCATTAGGGCTAGAACTTACCATAAAACGTACATTCCACATGTAGAAATTTTGCATACAATTCACAAAATTCAGCAGGAACTGGGCACATTAATATTAGGTATATATTTGGATAAATCTTTTTAATATGAGTCACACAATATCTTACATGACTATATTAGCACCTACAAGAGAGAATAAAGCAGTCTCTTTCCTCCTGGGTGACAAGGGTACGCTGTGTTTGGTATCCCTGAGTTTGAAATACAATTCTGAATATTAATTCTGCCAGTTGCTAGGATGCTACCTGTACCTATTGGAGGTTATTAACCTTAGTAGGAAATTGTAAGGCGACTTGGTCTTAACCTTGGTTACTGCCTAACACCCGTCCCCAAACTGGATCATTGGTTATTTGTTCTCAGGCGACACCCCTTTAATATGATAGAGAAAGACTGACAGGCCTGGAGAAGACAGCTCTCTTTTAACATCTATCAGGAAACATCTAACGGACTTGAAAGCCAAGGCAATTTTTTTGTTAGGACAGTTGGACTCTGCTTAAAACCAAGGACTTTGCAAGTATTCTGCCTTCTGAACTCCATTCTTTTATTTCTCTGTTGTTTTATTGTTCTCTTTATATCTTTATAACATCTTTTTCTGTAAATATTTTAATTGCACCATTTTGACCTTTTTAGTAATAAATCCTATTTTGAAAAGTGTTGAAACTGTCTCTAAAGCTTTTAATGCAAAGTAAAGAATCCCTGTCTCTTGAAAAGTGCTACTGTATGTAATATTCCTCTGATTATATCTGTCTGTGGTGACAGTGTGTATTACAGACTCTTATGCTAATATCATAGTGTTAATGCTGAGATTTGTGAGTTTCCTCCTTCTCTGTAGAAAGGTGGTGGTGGCAGTGTGAAGGGTTAATTGAGTAATTAACCTGACCCAGTATCAATCACTCTCAGGCTGCTGGCACAAAAATTGTAGTCCTGCGAGCTGGAAAATCTTTGTGCAGGGCGCAACTGAGAGTGGCATTGTTATGCAAGTGACAGCGCGGTGTGAGATTGGCTGGTCCTTCAGTCACGAGTTGGTGAGAAGGGCAGGGGTTGGATGCCGCGTTCCGTCACACCTGCTTGTTAGAGCTTATAATCTAAGAGGGAGCATCAAGTGATACAAAAGTTGATAACTGTGGATGATGAGCTGATGGAGAAAGTAAAAAGACAGTTTATTATTTAGAAACAGGATAGGCTTCTCTAAAGATATGGGTTTTCAGGGATCACCTAAAGGTGGATAGAGTGAGAAATAGTCAGACAGATGGAACTAAGAAGTTCCAGAGGATGGAAGAAGCTCTGGAGAAGTCCTGAAGGTGAGCATTGGAGGAGGTGTTGAGGGAGCTAGAGAGCAGAAAAGTCTTCTGAGGATCAAAGAGAATGGTTTTCTTGGCATTTTGAGACAATGTCAGTAATGTAGCTGGGGCAGAGTTGGGAATGGCTTTGTACGTTGTTGTTAGTATTCTGAATTTTTGTTGTTAAGTAAGTGGAAGCCAATAGAGGGATCATCAGAGAAGGGTAGCAGACTCTGAAGGTTGGTAAAATTTGGTATATCCCTCCTGGATATACAAAATGTGGGAAGCGTTGCTATATCTCTCATCTGGATAATGTGAATGTGCAAGCAGGATTGTTGATATTTTGGATACAAGTTTGACCAATACATTCTCAGTGAAACTATTCTAGAAAAACAAGGTTTGTAGTGCAGTGTTGCCACTGAAGCTGTTGTTTACTTTCCACTGTACACTCTCTTGTGTTTACAAAGGGAATGATTTTTTGCCTTTAACTTTGTTATTCAAGTTTATATGCTGTATCAGGGGTAGGCAACCTTTTCAGCACAGTGTGTCAAAAAATGTTTTCAAAGAAATCGAGTGTACTGGTTTTATGAAACAAAATATTTACTTCACACATTCACAAATGAATTTATATGAACTAAATGCTGTAAACTACTTGCGTAATAGTGAGAAATGAACATCCTGCACTTTCACACCTCAGATCAGTCCCAATTCCTACAACTTCACACTTCAGATCAGCCCCAATATATGCACCTCCCATACTCAGATCAGCCCCAATTCGTGCATCTTCACACCTCAGATCACTGTACACCCCTGCAAATCTGTTCCACCACTGTACACCCCTGCTCATCTGTCTCACCACTATACCCCCGTGCTCATCCATCCCACCACTGTACCTTCTTGCTCATCCATCTCACCACTGTAAACCCCTGTATATCTGCCCCACCTTGGTACCTCCCTGCTCTTCTGTTCCACCACTGTAACCCCTTGCTCTTGTGTCCCACCACTGTACCCTCCTGCTCATCAATCTCACCACTGTAACCCCCTGCATATCTGAACCACCTCTGTACCCCTGCTCTTTTGTCCCCCACTGTAACCCCCTGCTCATCCATCTTACCACTGTACCCCCTACTCACCTATCCCACCACTGTACCCCCCTATTCATCTATCCCACCACTGTACCCCCCTACTCATCTATCCCACCACTGTACCCCCCCTACTCATCTTGGTCTCACTGCTGAACCCCCTTATCATATGTCCTAACATTAAACCCACCTGCTCATTTGTTCCTCCTGATCATCTGCCCCACTGTAAGCCCTTTTCTCATCTGCGTGCAGAAAGTAATTGGGTGTGATTTTCATTGCACTGAATAATGGCTGTGGCTTAAAGAGATGCAGAGTACTGGGGTTCAGCAGTGATGCAAAGGTTCAGGCGTAAGTAAAGCAGAGTTGAGGGGTTGGGAGTAGGTGATGAAGAGGTTGGTAGTAGTAGATGAGGCAGAGTTGAGGGGGTCAGTAGTAAGTGACACACACATACATATATATACACCCTGAGAACATCAATCCTTTTTAAATGTATACTCATTGCTATGTGAGGAAAAAATTAAAATAAGAAAGAGCAAGAGTGACAGGGATTGTAAAAAAAAGTGACATGTGTGACAAACAAAAGGTCATTTTAAAGTGTCAGCAAGATAAAAGTCTAATAGACGAGATTGTCGCAAAGATTACCACCTGTCCTCTCCACCCAAAATTTAAAATAGCAAACGTGGTAGAAGAGCAGCAGCAAATGAAAATGAACACGTAGCTAACCATTTCAATAACGTTCCCAGAAGCTCAACAGTAATTTTACAAGCTGTCACCTGATTGTGACAGTGAAGACCCTTCTTTCTGAGATTGGTATAGGCAACCAGGGAAGTCATCTTCATTCAGATGGTGCGTGGGGCTAGCAGAACTGTGATTGGCTTTAGCAGTGGCCAATCACAGTCCTCCTGCCCTTGGAAACAGGAACTGCCCCCCCCTAGAAAAACTGCAATCAATATCTTTCCTACCATTAGAGCTGTGTGGATTTTACAGCCACAGCGAAGGTATAGAATAAAACAATGTTTCACTTCTTTTACAATGTGTGCTGCACAGTGCTTCCCCCTCAGTGCAGTGCAGGGGAATTCTAAGATCGGAATGCATTCGTGCAGCAGAAGCTGCATCTCACTGACAATTCCCTGTGCTGCTCTACTGATGGTGAGAGAGTTGCATGCTGCCAATGGAGAGAGTCGCATGCCTGGGGTCACTTATCCCCAGGGCGGACTGACAACTCATGGGGCCCCCGGGCAATATGGGATCATGGGGCCCGTGTCTTTGCCCAAACTCAAAAATGCCTATGAAAAAGGTACCAGGGGCATCTCATGGGGCCCCCTACTGACCCCTGGCCCCCGGGCAGTGCCCGAGTTTCGAAATGGTCAGTCCGCCCCTGCTTATCCCTGTGCTTTATGGTTCAGTCAGTGAAGAATAATACATAGCAAAAGAAAAACAAACGTTATATTACTTAATAGGCTTCTTTGGACAATTATTGCATTTATGTAGGATTTTTAGGAAATATACAATTTAATGCTAAAGCACAGAATTCATAACATAGTTGAGGTTATTTCATCATGGTTTAGCAGATGTATGAAAAAAAATAGCTGTAAATAGTTGGAAACAAAAGTAGTCTAAAACTTTCCTCAAATACAACATTAATGTCTTTGCATTATGAAACCATTCAAGGCTTGAAATAAAACATAATTTCTGGTTAATAAAAGTTACTGCTTCTACTATACATTTATACATGCATAAAACGGTTATAGAAGATAATGAAACAATAGTGCAAATCATAATAATCACATTATTGAATGTAGGTTAATTTGTCATCAAAGTGTAATAGCAATTACAGCAATGTATAATAGCTGACTAATTCATGTGCTCTCATAATACAAATCAAACAGGCTTTCATCTCCATAAAAGTATTGTCATATGAGCAACTACTAACCTGCCTCCTACACTTGGTGTCTAAAGTAAGCATGTACAAAATAGGAAAAACAATAAAAATAAAGATACAAGACAATATAAGTCCCAGAAATTGTTACAAATGAGGCAGTGTCATGTCTAAGGCAATACAAATACCCACTTTAGTGAAGATTGAATTTTCAAAAGAAGCTGCTTGAGGCTCCAGTGAGGCTCAGAATGAAGAACGTAAATGCTGGCACAATATAGTGATTGGAAAAATACATTAATAAGAAATAAATAACGTTAATGGATATTTATATGTGCCAGAAATTTGTTCTTGGATACCCCTGGTAAAAAAAAACAAAAAACTTTAAGTCACTGCCCTTGTAGGAGAAATTGAAACATGTTAGGGAATAAATACCTGTTTATTTTTCATACTTATACAGTGGAATCATCACTCACAGTTCTGTCGAAAATAGATAATCTTTCACATAATTCCCAGCCACCAAAATAGCACACAATCTTAAAACTAGTACAGGCACACACATTCAGACTCTAGACATGCTTAGTCAGTCACAATTTAATTTACCATCATGTTTTCAGTTGCAGAAAGACATAGAAAAACACATGAACTGTGCAGAATATGTCCCTGGTAAGATTTAAAACCCAGAACGCAGAACCCAATGCACTTAACCACTTGACATATTTAAGTATATTTTAAACTTTTTTTATAGAGTAGGAAATGTTAAGAAACCAGGTATTCTGTTCTGATGCCAACTGTAAAGTTTTGAATCTGTCAATGGTCCATAGGGCAAATAGAGAGAGGAATCTTTTCCAGTGGGAACAAACTGTGCCATGATGCAGTGACATTGTGATGTCACGTGCACAATGATGTCACAACTTGTTCATGTGTGGTGACATCATTGTGCTATGGACATGGTGCCCATCTTGCCATTTATCTATAAATAAAAGAGCCCAACAAATGGTCACCAGCTTGTCATGTGATTTTGTTTGGTTACACCTTACTTTATTATTTTTTCACACTCCTGATGAAGCTAATGTTAACAGGGTGAAACATGTTGAGTTTCTTTTGTTGGTGGCACCATTTCTTTTTTCTTTTTTCTTTTTGGGGCAAACATGGTTATTTTGTAGAGTGTTGACCTGGGACTCCATTATGTACCTCAAAAAAAAGTGGCATTTAGCAGGGTCTGTTGTAGAACCCTTTTTCTGGCTTACATTTGGGCTGGTTGATTGACAGGGGAGGTTGGATTTGATACACCACTGTAGCTAACAGATATCCAAAATAGTATATTTTAGTATAGCATAAATTATTCAAATTTGATGCTCCTACATGTCACTGATCTTGTTTGGAAATTATATCTATTCTTTGTTGACCATGTGTGTCAGTATCTGTGGTAGTGAGCTCTTATTGATCCTCAACTTGGGGTTCCCCAGGGCGCGGAGTCTAAGCCCCAGCCTGCTTGTTCACCAGATGGTGGGGATGGACTTGCAGCAAGCTGGGACCAGGTCGTGGCCCCCAGGTACTCCCAGCTGAGGTTGAGGAGACTGCTCGTGGGAGCAGAGTGTAAAGGGAGGAGACAAACGGAAACCGATAGGCAAGCCAAGGTCAGGACAGGCAGAAAACAAGCAAGGTCAGAGAACGAAGCCGGGATCAGTACATGCGTAGACAATGTAGGATTCAGACAGTAGTAACACACGGGAGCTCCAACAACTAGGAAGTTGCTCAGGCCAAGTGGCCTAGTCTGAGCACGTCTTATATAGACAAGCAAACAAGAAGGCGGACCAGGAAGTGATGGAAGGGAAGGAAATAAAACCCAGAGGACAGCAGACGATGCCCATAGATGAACACAGACAAACACATGAGAAAGGATCAGGAACAGGACTGCAGCAAGAAGGTAAGAACACAAACAAGAAACTGCATGCTAACTTGTGACAATGTGACAGAGGCACACTTTTTTACATTTGAGTACAGGCTCTTGCTTTTTTTCTTAATAATATGGATGCAACTATTTTTTGGGGAAGAGTTCTCCTAATTAGTTGGTAGATTTTGTGGGTCCCTGAGTTTCATCCTATAAGTATTAACCACTTCCCTACTGGGCCAATTCTGACATTTATCTCCTACACATAAAATTATACATTTTTTTGCTAGAAAATGTACTCAGAACCTCAAACATTATATATATATATATATATATATATATATATATATATATATATATATATATATATATATTAGCTGAGACCCTAGGTAATAAAATGTCAGTTGTTGCAATTTTTTTATGTCACATGGTATTTGTGCACGCTTTATAATTGCGTACACTTGTGGAATGGCGCTAAACTATGGTACCTAAAAATCTCCATAGAAGATGCTTTAAAAATTTTTTCAGGTTACTATTTTAGAGTTACAGAGGAGGTCTAGTCCTAAAATTATTCCTCTTGCTATGACGTTCACAGTGATACCGAACATGTGTGGTTTGAATTCCATTTACATATGTGGGTACAACCTACATGTTCACTTCTGCATGTAAACACAAGGTGACAGAGGAGCTTTTATATTTATTTATTTATTTATTTTATTTTATTTATATTGTCCCTTTAATTTTTTTTTTTAATCACTTTTATTCCTAATAAAAGAAATGTAAACATCTCTTGTAATAGGAATAAGGCATGATCCATAATACCCTGCATCTCTCAGGCTTTCCAGCAAAAAAAATAGCAGTGTTTACATCTGCCAGAGCAGGCTGGAAGTGATGTCATGATGTTGCTTCTGGTCTTCCAGAATGATATAGCTGGCTGGGGATCATCTGGTCCACAGCCAGCTATATGGTAACCCAGCGCAGTTACCGGATCGGACATGCAGATTGTCTGCATAGTAGGCTCCTGGTACAATGGTTCTTTCCTGTTTTGTGGCCTTTATGTCTCTTTCCAAGTTATTTAAATGTAGCCCAGCTTAAAGAAGTTTAGGAGCATCTACAGGGGAGGGAGAATTGCTGCATTTCTGTCACCCTGTAAAGGTGACATTGCCCCCACTGAGAAAAATACATAGATAGAATCCTCAAGCCTATCCACAAATAGTGCAGGGCATAAATTAAAAAAAAAAAGGGTGCAGTGCTGGGGGATCATAAATAATGCATAAAACAAACATCAATGGATAAAGTGCTGGAATGCTTAAAACCAGTGTCTCAATGTGCACAATTAATGTAGTATATAACATACTATGGTGCAAAATACAATAAAGTGCAACAGATATAGTCCACACATAAGTCACTGTGTCGTGACTAATGGTTGTAAGTGCCCAGTCCACAATATCCCAGTGGGTTGAGTGCTGAGAGAATCGCAGAGATCTCTATAGTAAATTCAAAAGGTGGTGATATCCAAACCAATAATAGACTGCGCACTCACCAGATGCACAATCAATATGCGCATGTAAGAGATAACCCCTCATAAGGTTTTAGATCCAGGATTCCCTCTGGAGTGTGGTCTGGTCTGTGCTCCAGGTACATAGTACATAGACTATTTCCTGCAGCCTCTAGTGACTAAGACCCCATCCTATCTCAGGGATACTAAGCAGGTTCTCTTGGATATTAAGGATTTAACCATAGAACCTGACACGTTCTTAGTCACGGAGGATGTCTCGTCCCTATACACTAATTTAGCCCATCAGTATGGAATGCATGCAGTAGAATTTTATTTGAACGATTTTAACGGAATACCGGTTTTACAAAAGGAATTTATTTTAAGGTTGTTGGAATTTGCAATGGCCAACAATTATTTTTGGTTTGATGGGAAGCTTTATTTGCAGACCAAAGGAGTTGCGATGGGGGCAAAATTTGCTCCCAGACTGGCCAATCTCTTCATGGCTAGATGGGAAGTAGATATTATCTATGCGAGAGATTGGCCAGAGCTATATTTTTATAGACGATATATTGACGACATTTTACTTATATGGAGAGGAACAGGCTCTTATTAATTTTTTTAAAACTCTGAACAACAATAATTTAAATATCAAATTGACTGAGTATATCATGAATAGCATCAACTTTTTAGATCTCACACTTATGAATTGCGATGGCGTCATAGTCACCCAATCCTTCTTCAAAGGAACTGATAGGAATAGTTACATTCCTACAAACAGTTGTTCCCACTTGGCTCTCCAACATACCAAAGGGACAGTTTCAGAGAATTAGAAGGAATTGCACAAATTTGGATACATATTACCAACAAGCTGCTATTTTGAAAAATAGATTAATTGAAAAGGGGTATGACGAATCCACACTAATGTGCACTTTAGAGGAGGTTGCTAATCTATATAGAAACTTGCTGCTAACTGAAACTGTGAAATCGCAACCATCTAAAATGTGCCCATTTGTGACTACTTATTCCACCCAATACATATCAATAACAAAGATCATCAAAAATAATTGGAAGATCCTTAAGGCTGATCCAATTCTGGAGCAGATTTTGATCGATAA